AAAAGATGAATAAATAGATTTACGTGGAAAAATTGAAAAAAAGACACATACACAGATAAGAATTGCATTAGAAAAAGGAATAAATATATGACAATGCATTCTGCGCTGGGCGCAGTGATTACCATTTAAATAATGCATTCTGCGCTAGGCGCAGTGATTACTGTCAAAATAATGCATTCTGCGCTGGGCGCAGTGATTACTGTCAAAATAATGCATTCTGCGCTACGCGCAGTGATTACCATCAAAATAATGCATTCTGCGCTGGGCGCAGTGAGTATCAATATCAAAATGCATTCTGCGCTGGGCGCAGTTAATCATAGACAAATGAAATATATGTGCAATTCTGCTTATGTACTTGCATTCTGCGTTGAGCGCAGTGAAAATCTAAAATTAAAAAATATATAATAAATCGTGCTAATTACCCATATATACATATGGGTGCATTTATATCTTGCCGTTAGAGTTGCAATTATCAATTCTCTAATGGGTAGATATGATTGCAATCCGTATGTACAATAGGTCTACTATCCAGTAGGATTCGGTTTCCGTCTTTCCAATGTTTTTCGTTTTTTTAAATTATATTTTTTATGTAAATTTACAAATATTTATTTCTCTAAAAACTAATGAATTTATTTGTAGATAAATAAACATTTGTGGTAAGATGTAAGATTGTCGAAAATACTACAATTTTCGTATTATATGTCATCTTACTATAAAAAATTATATTTTTTTATTGCACATTTTTTGAAAGTAATTGTGAGATATTTATGATTAAAATGACACCAAACACGACATAAATCAGATTATTTTTAATTACATAAATAATTAATTTTTTGATTATTGATTAATTAAAAATCATCCGATTTATGTCGTGTTTGATGTCATTGTAATCAGAAAATTCTCATTAATCCATTAAAATTATTTTCAAACCGATAAAATGCAAAATAAAAGTTTCAATTTTTATTTTCTGAAATGTTTATATTATAGATAAGATAAGATCTTCGCGAGACTGGGGAGTTGTCGAAAGTGAGGGAGAGACCAAGTAAGGAGTGAGCGAGATGAACAACATGAAAGAGTTCCGAAGTCTCACTCGCGAGCCTTCCTTTATCTCCAGTCTTTCGTATTATATTTCATCTTCAGAAAATACAATTTTTACATTTCGCATTTTATTGATCCGAAAATAATTGTAATGGAGTAATGAGATTTTTACGATTAAAATGACACCAAACACGACATAAATCGGATTATTTTTAATTACATAAATAATAAAAATATTAATGTAATTAAAAATTCTCCGATTCATATTGTATTTGGTATCATTTTAATCGCAAAAGTCATTAAAATTATTTTCCAACTTGCAATAAAATGCGCAATAAAAAAATTTATTTTTTATAACAAGATGACATATAATATGAAAATTGTAGTATTATATAACATATATAATTATTATTAATTACATATATATTATTATTATATATATAATATAAGATATATAATATTATATTTATTATTAGCTTCGATGCTCACGTATATATATATATATATATGTATATATATATATATATATATATATATATGTCAATTGGCTATTTTGACGACATTAAAAAATCAAACATTTTATTGTATACATAAGAGTACATCGACTCCCTGACCTATACATTATTTATAATTTTATGATAAAATGCACTAGTACATATGTATAAGCAATTAAGTATAGATCGGTTAGTACAGCGACAGTACAAAATTATGTATAACACATTATACTATTTGGCTATTATAACGACATCACAAATTTTTATAAAACGGTTGTTTTAACAACACTTCAAAAATAAGTTAAAAAATCCTTTTGATTAGTAATCATTTATCAAATAAGCAAGCAATTAGGAAAATATTTACATTCTTGTAAACCCGAGAGATTTATTCAAGAAAATTATTTATTTATTTTAATTAAAATTATCAGAATAAAAAATTAAGTATAGATCGATTAATACAGCGACAATACAAAATTATGTACAGTACATTATACTATTTGGCTATTGGATCGCTCATCGCGCATCGTTTATTGCGTCCAGTATGAGAGCGCCATAATGAGTAACTATTGGCGTTTTCGAATAGTCGGGTTCGATCCGACCCGGGGTAGTTTATTAGACGTCATTGACCAATCACAACCATTCTTTTGAAGAATGGCTATGATTGGTCAATGACGTCTAGTAAATTACCCCGGGTCGGGTCAAACCCGACAATTCGAAAATGCCATATATATACATATACGTTGTTAACTGCCTTCGTCCTTTTGTCCAGGCTTAATCAGCCATGAGATACGAGTTGTGTGCAATAGAAATATGTTAATTTGTATGAGTATATTTAGTATTATAGTATTTATTCTATTACTAAATACATATTATACGACAATATAAAAATTTAATATAATAAATATGTACACGTTAGTAAAGTTCTATGATGATATTTATTATGTGTGCAAATCTAGTCAAATTAAGATTAAAAAAAATGTTGCAAAAGCTATATATAGTGATAAACGAAGTTATCCAGCAACTATTTTAGCGAAAAATGGTAAGTTGAATATATGTTTTACATCAATTTTCATATTATTATTATTGCATGTAATTAACATTTATATTACATTACAAATATATATACATAAATCCAAGAATGAATAATAAACAATAACGATGCGGTCGTTCACGATATAATGAAATTATAGAACGTAGAAATATATCTACAAATGAGACAAGAAATTGAGAATACATTAAAATGTATTCTTATTTCATTAAAATATATTCTCAATTTCTCATTTCATTAACAGACATTTCTTTAACATTACAGATAATAAAGATATATTGGGAAGACATTACAAAAAATATTATAACAAATAAGCCACATATATTATGCAAAAGAACTGATTTCCCAAAATTTTGTGGTAAGTTTAATTCATATCGATGATATTTGTAATACTTATTTTATCATATGTATGCGATAATCATGTATTTCTTCTCTCACAGATATTAATTCTATAAGACTTATTGATAAAAACAAAGACAATGAATCTGTGATACTAAACAAGGAGTACAACACTAAAAAGATTGATGTTTCATTAAATATTGGTGAATCTCACATGATAATGTCTATGGATGAAAGCAATAAAAATAATGAATCTGTGCCAAACAAAGATTGTAATGAGGAGATGACCGATGTTACATCAATTACTGGTAAATGTGCATATTTCCAATTATTTAGGTTAGCTCATATCGATGATGTTTGTAATATTTATTTTATCATATGTATGCGATAATCATGTATTTCTACTCTCACAGATATTAATTCTATAAGACTTATTGATAAAAACAAAGACAATGAATCTGTGATACTAAACAAGGAGTACAACACTAAAAAGATTGATGTTTCATTAAATATTGGTGAATCTCACATGATAATGTCTATGAATGAAAGCAATAAAAATAATGAATCTGTGCCAAACAAAGATTGTAATGAGGAGATGACCGATGTTACATCAATTACTGGTAAATGTGCATATTTCCAATTATTTAGGTTAGCTCATATCGATGATGTTTGTAATATTTATTTTATCATATGTATGCGATAATCATGTATTTCTTCTCTCACAGATATTAATTCTATAAGACTTATTGATAAAAACAAAGACAATGAATCTGTGATACTAAACAAGGAGTACAACACTAAAAAGATTGATGTTTCATTAAATATTGGTGAATCTCACATGATAATGTCTATGAATGAAAGCAATAAAAATAATGAATCTGTGCCAAACAAAGATTGTAATGAGGAGATGACCGATGTTACATCAATTACTGGTAAATGTGCATATTTCCAATTATTTAGGTTAGCTCATATCGATGATGTTTGTAATATTTATTTTATCATATGTATGCGATAATCATGTATTTCTACTCTCACAGATATTAATTCTATAAGACTTATTGATAAAAACAAAGACAATGAATCTGTGATACTAAACAAGGAGTACAACACTAAAAGATTGATGTTTCATTAAATATTGGTGAATCTCACATGATAATGTCTATGGATGAAAGCAATAAAAATATGAATCTGTGCCAAACAAAGATTGTAATGAGGAGATGACCGATGTTACATCAATTACTGGTAAATGTGCATATTTCCAATTATTTAGGTTAGCTCATATCGATGGTGTTTGTAATATTTATTTTATCATATGTATGCGATAATCATGTATTTCTACTCTCACAGATATTAATTCTATAAGACTTATTGATAAAAAAAAGACAATGAATCTGTGATACTAAACAAGGAGTACAACACTAAAAAGATTGATGTTTCATTAAATATTGGTGAATCTCACATGATAATGTCTATGAATGAAAGCAATAAAAATAATGAATCTGTGCCAAACAAAGATTGTAATGAGGAGATGACCGATGTTACATCAATTACTGGTAAATGTGCATATTTCCAATTATTTAGGTTAGCTCATATCGATGATGTTTGTAATATTTATTTTATCATATGTATGCGATAATCATGTATTTCTTCTCTCACAGATATTAATTCTATAAGACTTATTGATAAAAACAAAGACAATGAATCTGTGATACTAAACAAGGAGTACAACACTAAAAAGATGATGTTTCATTAAATATTGGTGAATCTCACATGATAATGTCTATGAATGAAAGCAATAAAAATAATGAATCTGTGCCAAACAAAGATTGTAATGAGGAGATGACCGATGTTACATCAATTACTGGTAAATGTGCATATTTCCAATTATTTAGGTTAGCTCATATCGATGATGTTTGTAATATTTATTTTATCATATGTATGCGATAATCATGTATTTCTACTCTCACAGATATTAATTCTATAAGACTTATTGATAAAACAAGACAATGAATCTGTGATACTAAACAAGGAGTACAACACTTAAAAAGATTGATGTTTCATTAAATAATTGGTGAATCTCACATGATAATGTCTATGGATGAAAGCAATAAAAATAATGAATCTGTGCCAAACAAAGATTGTAATGAGGAGATGACCGATGTTACATCAATTACTGGTAAATGTGCATATTTCCAATTATTTAGGTTAGCTCATATCGATGGTGTTTGTAATATTTATTTATCATATGTATGCGATAATCATGTATTTCTTCTCTCACAGATATTAATTCTATAAGACTTATTGATAAAAACAAAGACAATGAATCTGTGATACTAAACAAGGAGTATAACACTAAAAAGATTGATGTTTCATTAAATATTAGTGAATCTTACATGATAATGTCTATGGATGAAAGCAATAAAAATAATGAATCTGTGTCAAACAAAGATTGTAATGAGGAGATGACCAATGTTACATCAAATACTGGTAAATGTGCACATTTCCAATTACTTAGAAACTGACACAAATGTCTTTATCTTTAATTACTGGTTACTTTTATAGTTAATAATATCTTTTTATTTAATTATTATTTGATTTTTTTTTTTAATAATAATATCTTTTAATAATAATTTATAAATAATAATGCATCTTTTAATTAATTTTGTGTTTTTTAAAAATAGTCAAATGTACATTGTATCTATTGTATATGTATGTA